TTCAACCACTGCTTTAGATAAGAAAGTGGGCTTCATGCTAAAAGTGCTAGAACACATTTTGATGACACAACCCATGGAGTATCCCAACGCCTCAGCTTATACGGAAGCTGTGAAAGAGCTACAAGCAGAGTCTGCTTATGAGTTGCAACGACTAGCCGGAAAAATGCCTGATCAACTATTAGTAAGTTTCTTCAAAGTATTTAAGATGTGTTTACTGATTGAAGCTCGCAGGACGTCTATGATCAACTCCAAGCAAAGGTCGATGAAATTATTTCTACCAGAAATCTCGATAAGAAGCGCCAGACATCTTATCAAACTTTCTTATTCACAATCATGTATGTTGTTCCTCACAACCAAATCTGAGATATCGTACTAATATTGGCAGCCACCGTAACTCTAAAATTGACCCAGAGATTCGTTTACAAAAGCTGCAAGGATTTTTAACACCTGTGCAAGCAAGTTGGCAAGATTCAGAAATGAATCACGCGGTCGAAGGGTTCTCTGGCTTCTGCGACCTACTTGGGTTGAACCGCGTAAGAGATTTTCTTGTCACAAGGCGAGTTCATGAGATACAGGACTGGTCGACTTATCAGCTTGACTCGGAAGCTCAATCGATACAGAAAGATATGGAAGAAAGATTAAAGGTATATTCAATGCTGTTGAACTCATGGGGTTATCACTAATTTGAGTACAGGCCTTGCCGCTAAGAACTACAAAATCATTTTTAGGCTGCTCGACCGAGAAGCTTGAGAAAGAAGACCCTGCCTATAAGGTTTCCTGCACCTTATGGAGAGATGCATTGCCAATTATATTGCCAACTCTTCTAAGATACTTGAGGTAAGAGTGGAACTGCTTATTTTTGTATGTTCTTACTAATTTTTGTAGTCATGCACATGCCTTTCATAACCCTGCAAATTGGAATGAACTCCCCCCAGAGATGGCACCGATTGTTAGTCGAATTCTGACGGACCGCTTCTGGCAATCTGGAATTTCTGTTGGAAGTAAAGATGACTTCTATGCTAGGGTTACTGGTACCAAATCTACCATGGAAGGTCTTGCATCATCTATTCGAGGCTCAATTCGTACTGTTAGAGAGTCTTGTTACTCGATACTTTATTCCATGAGTCGTTTGGATGTTGATTTCTATGGCTTTAGCGAACTTCCTGGACCACTCGCAAATGCTTTATTCGCAGATGCGCATTGCTTGTCTTCGCATCAACTTATTGCTTTGTTGAATGTTGTGCGACTCATGGTGGATGATTGTCCAGTCGAAGTTCGATCTCATTTTGTGCCTCCTATATTGGCTTCCTGCTTCGCTCAAATGGACGCTAAATGTAGTTCCGAATGGGAGAGATTATCTCATAAGGAAGTGGTTCCTGCAGATGGAGACACCTTGACCGAGGAAATGAAGGAAGAGAGCATTCTGCGACAGTTGACACATACATCTGTCATGATGATTGCTGGATTCCTCGATCCAGCACGACCAAGTAAATTACCAAAGATCTTCACATATGTTACCAAGACTAACCCTTTGCTAGATATTGGAAGCACACCCGCACCGAGGTCAGCCAAAGAAGCTTCAACATTCATTCAAAATCAAGCGAATTCATATCCAAGCATGAGAAAGTTTTGCTTAACATCACAAGCTATTCTCGAATCTCTTTTACTTTTCCTAACACACGCAATTCGCATGAGAGATACCCGTTGTTGTGGGGTTGTCCTCCGTGTTTTCCGATCCATTGTTCCCGAATTTTCCTCAGGCAACGATTCTTCCCTCGCTTCATCAATCAGAGAATTTATCAGCACCGAAGTACTAAAAGCTGCCATTTCGTCACTAAATGAACCCTATTTCGTAGAACTACAAAAAGATCTCGCTTCTCTTATCGCATCGATTCTAGCTCACTATGCACCCGTTACAGATACCCCCAAACAAATCCTCCTCAGTCTACCTGGTATCCAAGAAAAAGCGGTAAATAAATGTATCGAGGCATTGACAGTACAGGGTGTTCAACAGAGAACCCAGCGGGCGCTGGTATTGGATTTGTTGAAGGATTTGAAGGGTGTTAGTATTAGTGAACAGGGGAGGATCTCGAAGAGTGCAAGTGTGGTGAGGAAGGAGAGGAGTAAAATGCAAGAGGCTTTTATGAGGGGACCGGTTGAGGATAATAGGAAGGTGAAGAGTGAGATTGATGATTTGGAGGGGGTGGCGGGTCTTTTTGATAATTAGATGGTGGGTGAAGGGGTAGGATGGATGGGTGGAAAAGAAAGGGAAGAAAAGGGCAGGGTTGGAGAGGGGAGAGAAGATAATGATTGATAGAATGGGATGGAAAGGCAAGGAAAGGAAGGGAATGGGGGAATAGAGGTCTGCTGAGAATATACAAGTTACAAAAGATAAAATAGTAAAGTGCGTTGTGGATAGGGGTTAGGGTTGGGCTTGGGGATAGAGTGCACTGGCTCATTGATGGGTTTGGTGGGTGGGTTATTAGGTATAGCTACAGATACAGCTACAGCTATAGCATCCACTCACCTATCTACCTATTTATCTGTCTACATAATACTTTGCGTAGATAGATAGATAGATAGACAGAGAGGTATATCTGAATCCATACTGGGTATTCATCTATCTATTTAGGTACTCGTAGTGTGTTTTGTGAATGGCATAGCATATTGGTATTCATACACCCATCCAGAGTCTACATACAGCGTACTAGATCTGTAGCGATGTAATTCATTTGTGAGCGTCATGGAATCTGCATCTTGAATTCCGGACTTCTGAATTCTGGACTTCTAACGAAGCATGCATGATAGATAGTCAGACTTACCATAAGGAGTCGGGTCCTATTATGTATTATACACGGAGGAATGACGGTTAGAACTTAGATGGCGAGATATTATGATTAAGATTGAGATTGTGGGTTTTATGTATGTATGTTTGTATGTATGTGTATGAAGTGTGTATGAGGGATATATGCATTTCAGCTACACATGGAAGATGGAAGATAGGAGACAAAACGAGAGCTAGTTCTAGGGGGAAGAAATCAAAAGTCCCCAAGGTTTTACTTAACGCCGTGGTCGGAGATATGTATCGTATCGTATGGAGATGGGTTAGAACTTAGATGATGTATGGTAGTAGTAGTACAGATACTACGGTAGATGCAAGTGTTCGGATTTAAGACAGGGGTGAGAGAAGGACGAGGGGGGCATTTCTTGGTAGTTATGATTGTGATTGGAGGTTAGAGGAGAAGGTTGGGGGGACTTGGGGGGGGGGGGGGGGGGGGGGGGGGGGAGAGGGAGAAGGGATGGATGGATTGGGAAATGTTTGCGAATGAATAAATGGGTGGATGGGGGATGATGGGTTGAGTTGGGTGATTGGTTTGGAGATGGAGATGGAGATGGAGATGGAGATTGACGGTAGGGAGGTAGATGGGTGGTTCTCTTACCTGTAGGAATGGTAATTTGGATCACGCATATGCAGTGTGGTACAGTACAGGACGTAGCACTAGCTATGTGCAATGTACGGGAATAGAGTAGAATGGAATGGATGCGGTGGCATATAAGTGGTGCAGAAAAGGAGTTTGATTGGGGGTCAAGAATTGGGAATGTCATGATGTGAATGATTTTGGGTTGATGTGTGGTTGATGTGTGGTTGATGACATCTTGGATGCGTCAATAATGTATGTATGGTTTGTGTATGGTGTGGTATCCGGGTTCTGGGGTCTTGTTATACCTTGTTTTTCTTTAGAGGGAACGGGGTGAAGGGAGGGGAGGATGGAGATGGAGAGGGCGTTGAGATGGGGTGAGACGAGATGAGACGAAACGGATTGGATTGAGGTAGGGGAAAACGAGGAGGTGAGTTCACTGGTGGAGAAGAGATGGGGAAGAGTGTGTGTATGCTCAATTGACAGATCTGGTAAACGATCTAAATCGGACATAATCCCTGGCCAATTTGTCCGTCAGGTTGTCAATCCTTCCAGCATATGGTGCGTGCATGCAAAGCAGTCCCGATAAGGTTATGGGTAAGCATGCCTTTGGATTAGGTTACTGTTTTAAGAGTAATTGAGTAGATCGAGTGCGTATACCTTTGTGCATAGAAAGGATGAGGAGGAGCTGAAACTAGCGTTTTCATTCCAGAAGCTGATGATGTTCCCCTGACCTGACGATATGGATTGTCGTGCAGAGCTTCTACAGACTTCTCTCGCCGTCAAAAGAATAAGAAATATGCTCTACTAATAGCATACATCGTCTAGTTGAATCAGCCGTTGGCACAAAATGTCTTATATATCAAACAAAGCAAATTCCAAACCCATGGTTTGGCAGTGGGGCGAGCCATCATCCATCCATCTCTGATTCCATCATCGGCATCACCATCGATCGATTCAAGGCTACTACCTCACGCCTCATCCTTCCAAGACGATTCCGGAGGCCTGGAGAGATGCAATCTCAGGGCTCGTCCACATTCGCCAAACATGATCCAGTGAGATCTTGTTTGCACAATTGAATTGGGAAATATTAGGCGTTAGTTTGAAACCCCAGTCGTTCTGTATATTTTATCCTTGAGGGGGATGTTGCGCTTGGGTCGCGTTCTGGTGGGGTAGGTGGATGGGTTTGGGAGGACGGATGTACGTAGACCTCGAGATACCTAGGAAGCATTATTTGATTTGATTTGACATGACAGATGCGTGTGGATCTGGATGTTATGTGCTTTTTCGACGAGGCAAAGAGATGGAGAAGGACTCGAGGAGATTGTGGTTGTGAAGCATGGGATTGGTAGCTGCGTGTATTTTATTTAACAATCGGTATTGTTGCTAGCATGCATCGATCGAAATAACCTTGTTAGTAAAGAGACTTGGGTTTGATCTTGGGAAACCGGGAATGAAGGGGAGATGGAAAGAGGTTCCGGGCTAGATCAATGAATGGTAAGGTAGAGCGGCTCGGGATCTTGCAGAACGGGAAATCTAAATGGAAATCTGAGATTGGAGATTGAGGGTGGTATCTCATTATTATAGTGGATATTGATTCAATGCCGATGACTTAGAATGACTTGCGGTAGATGCCGTTATTACGGGACCGTTATTCCACTTATCATTCGATGTTGAGCTATGGAAATGTCTGACTACAAAGTGCTGTTGTACACTTACTCTGTGTAGCAATTGATAAACATATCCAGATACACACATACTGTCATTGTCATATATCTCCAAATCGTATGATTTAAAGTTCCATATACTTCCATGACTTCTTACGACATTGCCGGACCCTTTTCCGAGATCTCCCAAGAAAAGCTGCCAGAGGGACTCTGTAGATCTCTCGCGGCAGTATAACCTGATCTACTTCATTTGTAGAGATACCCATGTAGAAGGTCTAACAATGACCAATAATGGCCCATACAGCATATGAGATACCTGCACATGGCTGCACACATCTCAGCGCTATGCATTTCCATGCATCTAATCCAAGAACCACCACCGCGAACACAACAAACAATAACAGTTTTGGTGGTCGATCTTTTTTATACTAATGGGTACTCGAGTAAGTATCATTTAGTGTGAGACTCCCGGGATAATAAATGTACATGTATGTATATTATACACACACACATATATATACCTAGGACATATATACATACATACATACATACATACATACATACATACATATATACATACATACATACATACATACATACATACATACATACATACATACATACATACATACATACATACATAGACCTGTAGCATTCAAACTTCGCATTCGCACGGTTAGATAGCTGAGATACCTCAGAGAAAATCAACGGTGAGACTGTCTTTGACTGTTAACCGTCGCACGATAGGATAGTCCTTTGGAACTTTGCTTCATACTACGCCCAAGTAATCATAGCACCGATAGCAAGTCGTTTTGACCGTTTTGACCAAACTCCCCCCGCTTGCTCCACTGCCCCTTTACTCAATAACATTTTACACAGTTTGTACTTGGAGGAATCTAGGCCGGACATCTTATTTATACCAAGTATTTCTTTCGTATTTCGTATACACTGTATGTGTAATAATACAAACTCTCCCTACAATTTCCTTATTCTCCGGGGACGGCAATACCGTTGGGGGAAAGTTGCTATCTACGATGTGTACTTAACGGCTTGAAGCGGTAGGCAATTTCTCCAATTTCGTTCAAGGATGATTGAATGAATGATTACTTATCATTGGTAAATACGTTTCTACTAGGGACATCTCTTAAATCGTTTAGATCTATTGCCTTTTTTATATATCCATTTTTCATTTCCATTCCCATTTCCATTTTTCATTTTCCTTTTATATTCAGCTGAGAGCTTTACCAGCACTCTACAATATAATTCCTTCAAGTCCCCTGCTATTCAAAACACAAAAAGAAGTCTCCCCCAAAAGAGGGGTTAGGGGTGGTATTGATCGCTCAGAGGTCTATCGTTCAGGGGGGACCCTTGACTAAAGGATAGAGTTTGCATCAAATATCCCTTGACATCGGCGACCAGCTGCACGATTGATTCAACTGGTAAGGAAGAAAAAAAGTGGTGGTGCTTGCTTGAATGCTTGCTTGTATGCTTGCTTGTATGCTTGCTTGCCTCGAAATGCTTTTTTCCCTCTCCCCCAGTTTTACTTGATCATCATCTTTCGATCTTCGAAACAATCTACCGGTAAATCTAGATAGTTTTGTTTGAAATACTGCCTAGTACTTGCTACTTGCTACTTGGTACCTTTGCTAAAACCCACTAACTAACAACCGTCTAGGTAGGTGACGGGGATGCTCTACAATTTACAAAACCAATACCGCCAGTGGCTCTCCTCCAACGACTTCAAAGCCTTGAACTTATTAAACATCTAAACATCCTAATCCCAGACTGACAGATGTCAATCCGTCTTGTTTCTTTTTTCATCTCAATCATATATTTCAACTCTTTTTCTCCACTGCTACCGGTGTCTCTATTCCACCATCAAGCCTATTTGATTACACCTTCGGTTTTACATGCTTATTCCTAGCACGCACTCTTATTCTTCATACCTAAGCTACTCAAACTTGTGACTGACCGAGGTGTAATCGGAGGAACAAAGCTTGTTCTAGCTTGTCTCATCGGAGCTGTTACCGAGTTGTAACTTCATGTATGAGTTTCAGATCTAAAGCACAGCCATTTGTCAATATCGCATGGGTTTTAGAGCCTCGTCCCATATATTGTTTACTGTATATTCACATCATCTTGTTCATTTCCTCGAATTTCCTCTTTTCGAAACTTTGATTGAGAAATTGGATGATCAATTGTGAGCTGGAAGGAAACAAAGTATTCAGTTAAACCTGTTGTTGTATCAAGCGTTCATCTTGTCAAAGAATAAACAAAAAAGTCAACGTATATCAAGATGGTATACTGTGGCAAGCCTTCACGGGGCTGCCAGATGTGCAGAACTCGAAGGATAAAGGTGAAGTCTCTACGTTGTCTATCAAGGAGAACATTTGGTTTGCTAATATCATCCTCATAGTGTGATGAAACCAAACCCACTTGCAACCAGTGTCAAAAATCAAGACGACAATGTCCAGGATATAAGGATGACTTCGATCTTGTCTTTCGTAATGAGACAAAAGCTACAGAGAGACGAGCACAACGATCATTAAAGAACAAGAGGGGCAGCAATAACAACACCCAGATTGGACCAGTGAATAGAAGTGATGCAAGTCGCAAGTTTTCAATTGTCTCTAATTCAAGTTCCAACGATGCCGAAATCATGTATTCAACGACTGGAATGGAGCTGGCCAAGATTGAATCCAACGGCAGTGATTCCTCATCTTCAGATGCCCTAGGATTACAAGTGGCCTTCACCAGTCCTATCGAGCAACAAGCACCATGTTATTTCATGTCAAATTTCGTCATTATACCACAGAGCGGACAAATACGAGGCTCATTTGACTGGGTATTACCATTAATCAAGATGGAAGCTCCTGACTCGGCATTATCTCTTTCATTCCAAGCTGTGGCCATGGCTTCTTTAGCAAATAAACCAAATGCGAGAGGAAGCAATTTGATGCATTTAGCTATTGAGAATTACGCCAAGGCGTTGAAGGTTGTTAACTTGGCGCTACAAAATTCAGTGCAACAAAAAACCGATCAGACACTAGCTTCGATTCTATTATTGGGATTCTTCGAAACTATTACTCAAGAGAAAGCGAGTATCACGGCTTGGGGATCACACATCGATGGAGCTGTACAAATAGTGAAGATGAGAGGGAAGAAACAGTTAAGGACGAAAGTTGGTGTTGCTTTATTCCAAAGTGTTCGAGGACAAATGGTATGCTAGTTGCCCCTCTTTTAAGTAGGTTCGATACTAATATGCATTTAGCTTGTCAACTGTCTCTCTTCATCCAAGACTCCCATGCTAGGCGCCGACTGGTGGTGCGCTGATTCTCAGAAAGATGAAGGGGCTGCCTTTGTCAACAGATTAAACCTTCAAGTAGCCGAATTGCGTAGCGATCTGAACAGAATACTAATGTCACATCCCCGGTCACCGGAAACTACCGAATTAGTTACTGAGATTATGCATCGTGCTCTAGAACTAGAGCAAGAGTATCAAAGATGGGAAGAAACGCAAACAAAGCAAACGGTAGCATGGGTGGATAATATTCCTGGGGGTGATATAACAAAAGCCGATGTGTGTCCTGGACGAGTTGACCTGTACCCCGATGTTTTCGCCTGCTCGGCATGGAATTTCTCCCGTGTATCAAGGATATTCATCGCTGCAATAGTTATCCGTTGTGCAGCATGGACATGCCATCCCGTCGACTACCGGACCACGCCGGAATACGCGCAAATGTCGAGGATGGGTCAGAAAATGATTTGTGATATTATCGCTTCTATTCCTTTCATGTTTGGGTGGCATTTAGATGATGAGGGAAGATTGAAACCAGGAGATCCTATGAGTGGTAACGATGCTACGGGCGTTAAGGCGTTAGGAGGGGTTTATGCAATTTGGCCACTGTTATCAGTTAGTTGTAGTGATTTCACGACGGATTCGCAGAGGTTGTGGATTAAAGGACGGCTCAAATTCATTTCGGAAGTCATGGGCTTAAATCAGGCCAAGGTTGTTAGTACTGTACGTTATTTCTTTCCTTTTGCCCTCTCATCTACCATCTCACAAGTATATAAAATTTATACTAACACACACACTAGCTCCAGCTCCGTCTCCCATCTATGATCGTCCGCCGCGATAACATGGGCTACGCACCGCCGAACGCGACAAACTCTGTTAGACCTTCAGGTAAACCGGCAATTATGCCCACGCTCCCCCCTTCTATTTCGGCACTCAATTTTCAACAACGAGAAGCTATGAAGAGGGAAATGTGGGAACGGGAACGAAAGGCTGCGATGGAGAAGGTGAGAGAGGAACAGCAGCAACGACAACAATATTTGGGGAGGAGTGTGTTGGAGAATAGTAGTGGGAATGTAGGGGGAGGAGGAGGGGATTAAGTGGGATCGGAGCTATGAATGGAAATGGGTTGAATAATAATGTCATGCTTCAATATCAACAGAGTAAATATGGGCTGGGCTTGAGTGGGAATGGTGTGGGAAATGCAAATGGGATGCAGAAAACGGGAGAGATGGGTTGGAAAATTAGTAATGAGCAGGGGAAGAAATACGCGTGGTTGGAGGGGTTGGGATGGTGGGAGACGACAGTTTGATGTGGGGGTTTGGGTAGAGCGAGCAAAGCTTTGGATAGGGGTGGATTTCTTTGGGTTCTGGGTACTGTGTTTTGTAAGGGAATGGGAGGGATTCGGATTGAAATGGAATGAAGGGAAGGGGTGAATGGAGCGTATGGATTGATTTTATTTTGATTTTGGTCACGGAAAGGAAAGGAAAGGCCAGGAAAGGGAAGGAGAGGAGAGGAAAAGTCCTCAGGAAAGGCGTATACTGTTGTTTAATCTTGTACCTCTTGTACATCTCTGTCTTTAACTCTTTATTATAATTCAGTCAGTCAGTCAGCCAGTAAGCAAAAACTCGGGCTGGTGTGGGTATTGGTGCTGAGGTGTTAGGGTGTTTATAGTGTTTATAGGTTAGCCAAGGGGAGCAGGGGGCAGAGGGGTTGTTATACATACACATGTGAAATATATATATATACATTATATTATGTTACATAGATACTCGAGAGGATTGAATAGATAGAGTATATGAATACAGTATGATGAGTATTATAAGCACAGTATTATATGTAAAGTATGTTGAATTGAAATCAAGGCATTCTATTCTATTATGTTCTGGGTTGTGGTTTATGTATGTCATGTGGTAAGGGGATATGAGAGGTATGAGAGGTATGGAACTGTACTGTAACGATGGAGTGGTGGAGCGATGTAGTGGTATGGAATCTGAATGGAGATGGAGTTTGCTGATGAGGTTAGGAAAGCTGGGAGAGGGAGAGGGAGGCAAGAAATGAGTTTTGAAAGTGGTGAGTTATCTAGTATTTATTTGGTGGTGGTAGTAGTAGTAGTAGTAGTAGTAGTAGTAGTAGTAGTAGTAGTAGTAGTGGGATATGTTTGGCTTTAGGTTTGGGTTTAGGTGTAGTATTCGGATCAGAATGAATGATGGATTGGATAATTGGATATAGATATCAGGGTGAGTAGATCGATCTACATATTAGAAAGGACTCAGTAGGATTATGAAATGACCCGACCATATTAAAGTGATTAAAAATTAACAAGCATCAGTTAACGGGTTGTAGTTTGGAATTTCTCAGAAACTTTGTGAATAATCTACTTGGAACGTTATGAATGATTTTGCATTAAAGAAGCTCTCTATTTATGTATATTCACTTCTCAAATTTGACACGAGGAGACAAGAAGGATGTGAGATTCTGATTTCAGAATGAGGATGGGATTTGTATAGCTCTGCTATATATATCTAGTATCATAACCTTTTATGAAGAGGGTTCATGAGATCGAATCTGAGATAACATAACCTAGGAAATACTCGTACGTATGTCGTCGTAAAACCAGTATTCGTGAGCCGATGAAGAGAGTAGTTATATGAAATAGAATACCAGATGGGTATATGAGAATCCCAATGAAGATGAAGATGAGAATATCTGACCAACGCTCATCTGTTCCGTGAATCCAACGTTTGCGCAATTCCATTACTAGTAATGGGGGTCTGGAATTTCAGACGACCTCTCCCCTTATAATCCAGCCCGGTAACCGGAGTTGGAAGATGAGCGAGTACTGTAGATCTGTAGTATAAAAATATCGATGAATGCCCCATCCATCGATCCTTTCCCAAGATTTCATGCTTTGCGCGGATGGAAGGACTATTGGCTGTATTGACCTCACTTTAGAGGATATTCTCTGGTTTGGTTCAGAGAGAATCTGGTAATGAGAAACTTGAAAGAGAGTACGGTAATACAAAATATGAAGAAATAAATCGGGGGTATTAGCGAGATCTGCGCCCAAGGGAGCTTGATTTATCTGCTGGATGAGGAGCGAGAATATCTGAAGGGGGAAATGGGAAATTAGTTACTTTCTGAGAGTAAGTTGTTTGGAAGGAGGTCGGGAACAGCAGGAGAACTGAAAGCATAAATTTCATAATTATTCCACCCACTCTTCCCTCATTCTCTTCGGCGCATCTAAAGAAATAGAGCAAACTCACGGTTTTCTAGATTCTACTTTCCCACCATTTCCACTATCCTTGGGACTATTCCAGCCCAATCTCGATTGGTACGCAGGCCATGTACTTAAATTCCAGGCCTTGACCAAGAAGCCTTGAGTTTTATCCACATAACTTTCATTTTTCAACTCTTTCACTCCGACTTTGACGCCGTCCTTGGTGAACGAAACATTCTTGGAAGCCATCTTGTCTGAGGCGGATTTCGAGACTTGTTGCGTGACGAGGTAGACTTGGTAGCCAACGAATGCGAATGCGGCGAGGACGATGAGGAAGACGAGGAGAGGGAGAAGCTTGCTGTTGGTTGGGAGCATGGTTAGCTATTGTTTTGGGGGGTTGAAGTTCCACATGATTTGATTTGATTTGATTTGTGCTATTTAATGAAGGTAGAGAATAGAGAGGAGTAGGTAAGAACAAGATTGGTTGGTGTATGCGACAAAGTTCCAACGTTCGTACAAAGACAAAGAGATATCTGGTAACAGCTGGACATACCTTAAAGCAGAGCGGGGTGGTAGAGGGGCTTTTGAAGACGATCCCCAAGCCATTGTTCTGTTGTTTGAAGAGGAATAAATGGATTTATTATGGGTATAAAATGAATGAATCGATCTTTGTCTATCAAATGGAGAATATAAATTCGAACCACAGAATTGGATGTTGGAGAAGTATATGTACTGGTAGATGATAAGTTTCAGATTGAAGGGCTGCAAGTTATATTGCGATTGTTAATTTAGGATGTTTATCCTGGTAATACGTAATACGGAATACGGAGAGGGATTTTAGGGATTTGGGGATTGCGCAGTCATCAATTAGACAGGTACTTACTAGGTAGTGATTCCAAATTTAGGGGGTCATAGTGTAAGATAGACCCCCAATACAGTCCCCAATACAGCCCGATAACCACTCTCGACACACTGTAAGGCTGTGCTTGTACCCTGCCTTGTACCTGCCTTGTACTCTAACACGTGATGCTGCGGGACAAAATAATTTGGGTGAGGGCAGTTTTGGTGGAGGGTGGGCTCTTTGGTCAGTCGGTGGGCGTGAATGATGAAAGCCGAAAGGCCAGGATTCCTTTCAGAGAGTGACCAGTCCAAGTCCAAACTTTGGAATCTCAACCAATTTCATATCATACAGATCATACATATCATATGCAAAGTTCAATTCAATGTCATGAATGAATTGATTATAATTTTCAAATCTTCTCTTGTTGTCTAGAACTACCCCTGGACTTTTTACAATCTGTTCGGATCTCATCTGTCTAGGAAGCTCTTTCTTAGCAACGTGTTCCTTGAGGCAATCAACTATCGTAGATCTATCCAAGAATTCTAAGCTTGGGTATTGACTTGTCACTTTCCATACTCGACCTACCCCTCGAACAGGACAACATCAAGCTTTCAAGCGCGACTACCAATTTTCTTGCGCCACTACACCACATTTTAAATCTCGGAAACGCTGCCCCAGAGAATTAAAACAATAGCAAATATGGCGGCACCACAAGATGGATATCCAGGCCAAGCTTATCCTCCTCAAGATCCATACGCACAGCAAAGTCCCGCGCAACCAGGCTATGAACAACCACTGACTTCTCCCACACAACAAGCTGGACCGCCAGGAGCAGATGCCGGAAAGAAGAAGAAGAGGGGTTATGCGACACAAGCTTATGATTTTGGTCAAGGTGCGAATTCAGCCTTAGGAGGACAAACACATGGCGGTGCTCAATTTCAACCCGCACAAGCACCTGCTGCATATGGCGGATATCAAGCTCAACCAGATCCCGCTGCTGCATATGGAGCTCCACAAGCTGGCATGGCCGGCGCTCCTCAAGGCGGTTTCGCTCAACCGCAATATGGCGGCGGTGTGGGTGGTTATCAACCTCCTGATGCCGGATATCCTGGTCCAGGCACACCCGTTACTCCTGGTGTAGCGGGAATTACTCAAGGAATGGGGCAGATGGGAATGGGTGGACCGCAACAACCTATTGCGGCTCAAGCTCGTCCTGGTGGTGCTCCAGCCCAGGTTGCGTTGAATCAGCTTTATCCTACAGATCTCACCAACCAACCTTTCAATGTCGCAGAGTTGGACTTACCTCCTCCTCCAATTATCTTGCCTGCAAATGTAAGTTTGAATATCTATTTTATGGAATTCTATGCTAATGCTTAAATAGTCAAGTGTCACCCCTTCCCCAAATGCGAATTGCCCACCAAAATATGTTAGATCCACTTTGAATGCGGTTCCTACGACCAATTCTCTCCTCAAGAAATCGAAACTTCCTTTCGCATTAGTTATACAGCCATACACTTCATTGCACGATGTCGACGATCCGGTACCAGTTGTTCAAGATCAAGTCATTTCACGTTGTAGAAGATGTCGTTCATACATCAACCCATATGTTTCATTCCTCGACCATGGCCACAGATGGAGGTGTAATATGTGTAACCTCACAAACGATGTTCCACAAGCTTTCGACTGGGATGCAGCTGCACAACAAAGTGTTGACCGATGGCAACGGCCGGAACTCAACCACGCAGTGGTGGAATTCGTCGCACCACAGGAATATATGGTTAGACCTCCACAACCACTTGTCTATCTCTTCTTGTTCGACGTCAGCTTCGCTTCTGTATCTTGTGGCTTGTTGGCTACTAGTGCCAGAACTATTCTCGACAGTCTTAACAGGATACCAAATGCGGATCGAAGAACAAGAGTTGGGTTTATGGCTGTAGACTCCAGCTTACACTACTTCCAAGTTCCAAAAGATACGGAAGAGAATGGCGAGACAAATATGCTCGTTGTTAGCGATCTGGATGAGCCTTTCCTTCCAGTTCCTCAAGAGCTATTGGTGCCATTGTCTGAATGCAGATTGAATGTAGAGAAATTCCTCATGACTCTTCCTCAAATGTTCCAGACCAATACAAACAATGGATCATGTATGGGTTCAGCTCTCCGGGCTGGCCACAAACTTATCTCTCCTCTCGGTGGAAAGATTGTTGTAATCACTGCTTCATTACCTAATGTTGGATTTGGCAAATTAGAGATGCGCGAGGATAAAAAGTTACTGGGTACCTCAAAGGAGAGTGGTCTATTACAAACAGCCAACAGTTTCTACAAGAGTTTTGCGGTCGAATGTTCAAAGAACCAAGTTTCCATCGACATGTTCTTATTCTCATCACAATATCAGGATGTTGCTTCTCTTAGCAACCTTCCAAGATATACTGGTGGACAAACCTATTTCTACCCTGGATGGAATGCTGGAAGAAGCGAAGACGCTATCAAATTCGCTACCGAGTTCAGTGATTATCTCTCTGCTGAGATTGGTCTTGAGGCAGTGTTACGTGTTCGTGCTACTACCGGCCTCCGAATGAGCACTTTCTATGGTAATTTCTTCAACCGAAGTTCGGATCTATGTGCCTTCCCAGCCTTCCCTCGCGATCAAAGCTATGTTGTCGAAGTTGCTATCGATGAGTCTCTTACCAAGAACTTTGTTTGCATGCAAACGGCCGTCTTGCACACTACAAGTAACGGAGAACGTCGTATTAGAGTTATGACTTTGTCATTACCTACAACAACTACTCTTCAAGATGTTTATGCATCTGCTGATCAATGCGCAATTACTACTTACTTCAGTCACAAGGCTGTTGAGCGTGCATTGAGTGGTGGGCTTGAGCCTGCACGTGAAGCTCTCCAATCGAAATTGATTGAGCTTCTCCAAACATTCAAGAAAGAGCTCGCAGGTGGCAATATGGGTGGCGGTGGACTTCAATTCCCTGCCAACCTTCGTGGATTACCAGTTCTTTTCCTGGGTCTCATCAAGAATGTTGGACTTCGAAAATCGGCTCAAATTCCTTCAGATTTGAGATCTGCGGCTCTTTGCCAATTATCCACACTTCCTCTTCCACTCTTGATGCAATACATCTATCCACGTTTGTACTCATTGCATGATATGCCCGATAACGCCGGTATCCCCGACCCGGAAACAAATCAAATCGTCCTTCCTCCACCAATGAATCTTTCATCGGAACGTCTCGTCCCATTCGGTCTCTATCTTATTGATGACGGCCAAACACAATTCCTCTGGGTCGGCCGCGACGCCGTTCCTCAATTGTTAGCTGACGTATTTGATATTTCGGATCGCTCGAAACTAAAGGTTGGGAAAGCGACACTACCGGAATTGGATAACGATTTTAGTGAGAGAGTCAGAAATGTGTTCCAGAAAGCAAGAGATTATAGGAGTAGAGGTGTCGGTAGTATTGTCGTGCCGCATTTGTATGTGGTGAGAGAAGACGGAGAACCGTCGCTGAAATTGTGGGCCCAGACGCTGTTGGTCGAGGATAGGGCGGATCAGGGAATGAGCTTTCAGCAGTGGATGGGGATGATGAGGGAGAAGGTTAGTTCTTAGGTTGTGAGTTTGGAGAAGCAGGATGAGGTGGGAGGATGGAGAAAAGGAATTCAGTACGGGGTGATTGGATGGATGGTTGCATGCATGCATGGACAGAAAGAGAATGAATGGTGCGTGTGAGGGAAAAAATGATGATTAAGGAGTGAGAATGTAAGAGGAATCAGATGATTGATGTATACATGAATGGAGTGAAAGTCTTAATTTTATACGTAGAGACTTTCTTTCTTTCTTGCATTCTTGCCTACCTACCTTCCTTCCTTTTTCTGATTACGTTCGTGAGAGATATAAGGTGGGTGGTGGGTTGATTTAGTCGAGACACGCATCAAATTCCTTCTTCGATCAAATGATTCATTTCAATTTTTAAAATCAAAAATCAAAAATGAAAATTCTCTTATTGTTTTGTTATTTGTTTTTTATTATTGACTCTCCGTGTGATTTTGATCTTGCTATGTAGATTTTGATAGAGATATTCTAACGGTGAATATGATATGATATGATCTCTTTTCATTTCATCATTTTTTTCTCTCTCTTTCATTCATCTATCTATCTATGCACATATGTTTGCACGCATATATGTATGCTGTAAACATGTATGTATGTATTTGTTTGTTTCCCATTTTCTTATGTTCCCAGCACACCCATCCATCCATCCGTGCATGTTCCAATTCGATTCAATTTGAAATATGAATCAAGTCATCAATCATAAGCAAGCAAACAAACAAACATATTAACGCCATCCGTCCATCCATCCACCCATCAATGCTATCAAGGAAAGTATGTGCGGTCCCATCAAAAGATCTTCCTCTCTCCTATCTGGTCGTACTCCCTTTCCATTCTATCCCAAACCCTGAATCTAGTCATCGAATTCACCCGGTTCCAATCTCCCCTCCTCTCTCTGTTCCCCAAGATTGAATTGCTGAACCCCCTCTACCAAGTCTGGCATCTTATCTACCGTCCCCTTACTGCTTGATTTTTTCGCCGCGTGTTCACTAATCCTCTGCAACTCGCTTACGAAACTTTCTCCCCACCATGAACTCGTGTATTTGAAGACATATTTTTCCAATTTCTTGAAATTGATTTCTCTTTGTTCTGGTGACATTGTGACGGCGTCATGGATAGCATCTGCAAGTTCTTCCGTATTCCATGGGTTAACAATGAGAGCGCCATTGAGAGATTGAGCCGCGCCCGTGAATTCGGAGAGGATCATTACACCGTGACGTTTACGTTGTGTGGCGATGTATTCGTAAGAGACAAGATTCATGCCATCACGAGTACTGGATACGAGACAGGCGTCTGAGACGGCGTAGAGAGCGGTGAGTTCATCGAAATTGACGGATTGATGGAGGAAATGAATGGGCATGAACTCAACGGTACCAAAGCGACCGTTGATACGACCGACGAGTTCGTTAACGACGGCGCGGAGATTTTGATATTCTTCGACATCTTGACGAGAAGGAACAGCGACTTGGACGAGGACTACCTTGCCGATCCATTCGGGATGTTCTGTGAGGAAAACTTCAAGAGCGTGCAATTTTTGTGGGACACCTTTGATGTAATCTAATCTGTCAACCCCGACGATGAGTTTAACACCTTCGAATTTGCGCTCTAGTTGAGCAATGCGCTCTTCGACCTTTGGCTTTTTGAGAGTTTCGATAAACTTTTCGGGGTCGATACCGATGGGGAAAGCAGCTACTGTGACATATTTACCACGGAATTCGACACCATTAGGTGTTGTTTGTGTTTCTCTATATGTTGTTAGATGGAGTTTGTGAAGAGCAGGATTGATACTTACAAAATTCTAGAGCAACTGCTAAGGAAATGTCTGGCATAATCATATGTGTGGAAACCGATCAAATCACAATGAAGGACACTCAACAACAAAGATTCTCTAACAGGCAAGATTCTGTAAATCTCACTGGAAGGGAAAGGTGTATGAAGGAAAAATCCAATCTTGACATTCTTCTTGCTGGTGCCGATTTCATCGCGCAACATTTCTGGAAGAAGCATAAGATGATAATCGTGGACCCAAATCAAATCACCATCTTGTACATCCTTAGCAATCGTTTTCGCGAATAATCTGTTGACCTCCTTGTATGCCATCCATTGTGACTCGTCGAATGTAATCTCTCCTGGATGGTAATGAAATAGAGGCCAAAGGATAGAATCTATGACTGCTGTTAGTACTTGCAGATGTAACGACAGGTGCAACCGGGCAGAGTTGGTAGAAAATACATACTAGAGAATCCATTGTAATGCTTGTCTGCCAATTCATCATCGACGAAAACTGGATGAGCACCATGTTCGTCCTTCAATCTCTTAACCAAAGGTTTTGCTTCAGCATCTGGCACTTCCAAACCTGGCCATCCATACCACTGAAATGTAGTCGTCTTTGCCAATCCACTCAAACCCGTTACCAATCCACCCGAGGAACCAGTGAATTCATATTGACCATCCTCAGTTCGTTTGATTGTGATGGGCAATCTGTTTGATACCAGAAGTAATCTGCTAGAAGCTTTGGGCTCCTCGTCAACTATGGAAGGCATGTTGCAGTTATTTTCGTTTTATGGTCGTGATGCAATGTGCGGCTGATGGCACAAGTAGAACTAGAACTGGGCTAGATCAAATGGTTCGGATTATAAGTTGAGATGGATCTTCTTGAGATCCTCTTGAGATCTTTAAAGGAAGCTGTCAAAGAAGTAGATAATGGGAAGCTTTACAAGCGATAAACGGGTGTTCCCGGTAAGGCTAAATAGGTAGTATGAGTTGGATAAATTTCCAAAAGGTGTGAGTGGTTTTCCTGTAAGTGGTTTTCTTGTTCGTTGGCAAGCTTGAGCTTGGGAGTGAATAATTTCCAAGGTTATAAATATAGATAAACTTGGAAACCGACAGTCGATGGGTAGCTTCAGAAAAAAACAAAGGACAAAGATGTCTTCAATAGCGATTACATGAACTTGTCCAAGGTGTAGTAAACTTCTTCGAAAGGGATTGAAAAGAAGAGCAGAAAAAATATCTTTTAATCTAGGAATACTAGTCTAGTCTTCTAAAAGTTTTATGATATCCCTTTGGGTTTTTATTGTCAAGTATTTTTCGTTCCCCGCCAACAGGAACATGGAATATTTGCAGGTGGTGGGCATCAATGATCAAATTAACAACAATTACCTCATCGGCGGAGAGTTCTAGGAGGTTTTCCTCCACCCCATGTTGAAAGTCACCGAGAAAGCATTCGAGAGATTACTAGATAGTTCGAAGTGGGCCCTGAACGTGAAGATATACTTCAGTTCTTACTTCAAACGTTCAGATAGGTCGTCTAAAGGTGGTTGGAGTGTAATGTGTGTTTGTCGATGCGTTTTATTTGTTGACATCTACCTTGTACAAAGTATTCCGCTGCTGGAAATGTTCCTATAAAAACTGATAAGAAGATTATCCCGCTTACCATACAATTTGACCCCGCAGTGAAGAAGGCTGAAGAAGGAAGAATACACGACGTAATCCAATTTAAACAATTGTCAAAGGTTCCAGGTTACTTGAAGAAGAAATATTCGGATTCTGATATAACTAACTTATTTGCTATAATTATTGATGACATTCTCGACTAACTGCAATATAAACCTCACTATTGGTTAGCAAGGTGAATCAATGAACCAAAGTTATAAAGGAATAAAAACATCTAATTGGTCGATCATCTTGAATAGATTGAAAAACTTCATCCATGCGAACATCATCTCATATCATCCATGGATAGGTATTCACGATATCTTCATGTATTGATTGCACCTCCAATCTAGACCTCACAAGGCGTCTCTGATTTCGTCAGTATATACCCGTCGGGTGAGTTTCCTAAAGAATGGCGTTCAATCGACATTTATTAATATACGGACAAAAAAGTCATAAGACGGAGGGTCGTCGTGCATTCTTCTCGTGCCATACGCGCATCCAATGCTTTTTCCATGCTTAGAGAAATCTTGGGATAACTTCCGGCTATATTGATCGTATCACCTACCGGCATCATTTTCCATTTTCCCATATCAGTATCCCAATCATGCCGCAGTGTTGCAGCCAAACAATCAAATCATGAGGTCGTGCGATTTCGGTACCATTTGACTGGTGCCTAGATGTACTGCAACCTCATCGTGATATCAATCATGAATTGGTGATAGAAATACCTAGGTTTCTTATCTATTTCCGGATTCACTTCTGTACAGCTTCACCTCCGATAATCTCCCGGCCGATAATGGCTTCAAAAGTGGGCGGTTATATGTTCACGGTTCAGAGATTCACAAAGGTTCGATCAAAGTATTTCGATCTGAGACAGACGAGAGAATACAAATTGTCGTACTCGGGGAAGAATAACATACCAATTTCGCCATGGAACTCCAACTTCGCCGAGCTACCGTCAATGACATCCCGCAACTTCATCCGCTGATCGATGCGTCGGTCCGAGGTCTCCAAGTCGAACACTATACGCCAGCCCAAATAGCCGGGGCTCTGAAATCAGTATACGGAGTTGACACCCAACTCATCCAGGATGGAAATTACTTTGTAGTGACATCTGGAGATACGATAGTGGGAAGTGGTGGAATATCTTATAGGTCCACGTTGTATGGAGGTGATCAATTTGCAACTCGAGATTCAAAACTGTTGGATCCTGATGTAGATGGTGCCAGAATTCGTGCTTTCTTTGTTCATCCTAATTGGACACGAAGAGGTATTGCTGGTATGATTATTCGAGCTTGTGAGAATGCTGCGATAGAAGCGGGCTTTAAGAAGGCTGAAATCGGCTCAACTTTGAGTGGAGTTGCATTCTATGAGAAGATGGGGTACGAGGCATTGGGAAGATCCGACGCGCCTCTCGATGATGGGTTGGTATTGGAGATTGTAAAAATGGGCAAGAGTTTGGTATGATGAGACACTCGTGACGGGCGTGAATGGTTGATATCTTCCTGGACCTTTATCTTTTGCGGGTTGAATTTGTCATACGGAGTAAGATTGAAGGAGAAGCA